AACAAAATATTCTCATTGTTAAAATAGTGCCCAATACATCAATTGTAGGGCGATATAGAAATATTAAAACCACTGTTAAAATAGTGTCAAATACATCAATTGTAGAGTGATATAGAAATATTAAAACGACTGTTAAAAGAGTGCTCAATACATCAATTGAAGAGAGATATAGAAATATTAAAACCACTGTTAAAATAGTGCTCAATACATCAATTGTAAAGCTATTTTAAAATAGTGCTCAATACATCAATTGTAGAGCTATATAGAAATATTAAAACCACTGTTAAAATAGTGCTCAGTACATCAATTGTAGAGTGATATAGAAATATCAAAACCACTGTTAAAATAGTGCTCAGTACATCAATTGAAGAGAGATATAGAAATATTAAAACGACTGTTAAAATAGTGCTCAGTACATCAATTGTAGAGAGATATAGAAATATTAAAACGACTGTTAAAATAGTGCTCAGTACATCAATTGTAGAGAGATATAGAAATATTAAAACCACTGTTAAAATAGTGCTCAGTACATCAATTGTAGAGAGATATAGAAATATTAAAACCACTGTTAAAATAGTGCCCAAAACATCAATTGTAGAGCGATTTAGATATATTAAAACCACTGTTAAAATAGCGCCCAAAACATCAATTAGGGGGCAATATTATTAAAACCACTGTTAAAATAGTGCCCAGTACATCAATTGTAGAGAGATATAGATATATTAAAACCACTGTTAAAATAGTGTTCAGTACATCAATTGTAGAGAGATATAGAAATACTAAAACCACTGTTAAAATAGTGCTCAGTACATCAATTGTAGATATATATATATATATATTAAAACCACTGTTAAAATAGTGCTCAGTACATCAATTGTAGAGAGATATAGACCTATTAAAACCACTGTTAAAATAGTGCTCAATACATCAATGGGGAACCAAACTCAGCCATTGATGCAGACGTCGCTAGAACCGCGGGACCACAATAGCCGTCGCACCATCTACATCAAGGAACGACAACTCGCGTGTTTGGTTCCCCATTGTAGGACGATATAGAAATATTAAATTTTATCGAATTTTTATCAAAGAAGTACTGACAATCTACGAATGACTTTGAATTAATAACTTGTAAAGATCTTTTAATTTGCATACATGTATTCGCTGAACATGCCTTTGGCAGTAAATAAAACATATCAAAATTCACATAGGACAATGTCCCTTATTTAACAGAAATGTATGTCATTATTTAAAGATTAAAAATAGCCATAAATCAATAAATTTACGACCAATATACAGTATTTTATGTTTCAAAATATTATATTACCGACTGCTAAAAACTTCAATCATAGACAGCCCTATGCTTTAATATCATATTTTATTTGAAAGGTTTTAAAACTATCCATAATATTATCTTAATATTATATTTTGATCACTATGTGGTCTTATTAACAAATAATGACATTTTGATTGCTGTCGGGTCGTCTTACCAAAATATATATTCCTCTGAGGTAAAGGTATTTGACTAGCAGAACCCGAAAGCACTGGTTGAATGGTAAATATAA